CCCATTAATTAGAGATTACCCAAAGTGTCATTGTCAGGTGTCAGATTGTTGTTGTTACTATATTATGTACAATTCTAATTTCAGTGGAAAAACCAATCTATATTTGGAAAACCACCTAATTGTCCACAGTAGAGTTCCATACTCTACTTACTGTCACATGTTCAGAACCTTGAATTTCTCAGTTCTTGTTCATGTCCAATTCGTTAAACGTATTCCAGTATTATAAGTATAAACGTTGATACGTTTATACATTTAACTGTGCAACTACTATTAGGAACCCGCTATTTTTACAGATCAATAAACTATAGCCGAGTGCTATAAAATAGCCACTGACTTTTCTGAGAGGGGGTTTTGTTTATTGATATAAGAGGGAGGTACAGATTAACAATTTGATATAGTCTGCATATAGTAGAATTCATAAGTACCTGGATATAACTTTTAGCAAATCAAGTGAAAATTGTGTCCGTTTGCTAAACGAGGGAGCGCAGCTGTCTCTCATAGAATTAAACCCATTGAATGATACGCAATGTTCTGATCTCAATTGTGTTCGAAGTAGCGAATCCTCGAAAACATGTCTGTCGGGAGTAGGTGGGGTCCAGGTTGCATCTTTTAAGGCGACGAGTGTGCAGCAAATTTTCTTTAGCCACATACTCGTCACGCTTGAAAGAATGCCCTCTGGCTGGATCCAATTCCTGCTGGCCATGTCTGTCTATGATTACAATGTCAAAAGTGAGGACAATGTGCTCGTCTACTTCTACACAATGGTAGAATAATCAAGTATTAATGACAAAATAGGGAACAGCCGAAAACCATGCAGAAGTGTCTAGAATTAAACGACCGTAAGGAATTCAAAGCCAAAATAGTAGATTGTCATCAGTTTGAGCCGATAACTTCATGGTTGATTAAGGATAGAGTGGAAGGGTATAAGTGTAAACTTCGATGGATATTTCTATGCTTTTAAACTTTGTTATATAAACTAAAATACAATTTAAGTCAGTTAGGATTTAGCTGTGGTAGCTTGTGTAAGAATGATCGGGGCTGCCTTTTGGTAAGAGCCTTATTATCCTCGATTACACAGGAGGTACATCTAGCTGTTCTTTATTGAATAATTTTCACTAGAGGTACTAAGTGTTCATGACCACATGTAATTTGTAGATAGACATAAGAACGTAAGTCAAGTTAATACACTAGCTAATATAAATAAAGTTCCATCTGAAGAAAAGTTAAAAAAAGAAAAAGATTTATTGGATTTTGGAGATTGGCGGGAAGACCAAAACCTGTAAGTAGTAGTTCAATAATTATAAAATTTAGTTTATAATATCCTACATCTACTATCGTCTCAAATAGGTCCAAGTAAATGAGTCATACCAAATACTCAGGCTATTGGAGCCATCACAGTGAATTTAGAGCACTTTGGAAATATTGGAAAAAGAACTTGTATTGAATTATTTTAAATAATATTAGAAAACAATGTGTTATCTCATTTGATCTTGATATTTTAGACTGACCATCGGCCGTGTTTCTACATAGCCTCCATTAGCTTTTAGGACTACGGACGTACGGGAAAGTACGATCTAGTTCGTAAAGCGAACCCCAAAGTAAAACGGTTTCGGTCATGGCTTACCGAGTAAGTATGTACCTATATGTACGAGTTCAAGACTCATGTTGTACTCTATATCGTTTAGTATTTGGTCCAGTAACCATTGCGAACGTAGGTGCCTTACGTTTATTACTTGGTAAGGTAATAGCCAAAGGTTGTTTTTCATTAGTAAGTAAGTTCGAGGAATTTTCTGCTCTGTTGGTAAGCAGATCAGAAAGTTTAGTCACATAGGAAGTAGGTGGCAAATAGGGAACTTCAGATCCATCCGGGTTTGTAGTCACCTGAGAAACCCCTTTCCATTTATCTCGTGTGTTCTTATGTAAACGCTTATTCCATTTCTTATTAAAAATACGAAGGAAGTCGCGAGATTCACGAAACGCATCGGAGGTTAGCCAAGCTACTGTCCCATCCATAAAACGGGTCTTGTAGTAAGTGTAACCGTCTTCGGATGTTTTGTCAAATATACCTTTGACTTTTGACTCCATAACTGGTACATCAGAATCAAATGAGCGAGCGAATGAGAGTTCGGAGGTAGGGATACGGTGAGTGCCTAGATTAGTTGCGCTAGTACCATCTATGTTATTCACTTCGTAAGTATCACTCTTCTCATCATGGTAGGAAATAACAAAAGGTCCAATTGTCTTGGAAGAGAGCTCGGTAACGTTGGCATTACGATTTATAATGTTAACATAATCGCCAACTTTGAACTGAACAATGTTCTTAGTGTTATTCCATCGGTCATACGCTTTAAGTTCGACACGATTTTTGTGCTCGAGTAAACAGGGGTAAACAACGTGAGTAACGTGTTTCTCGGGCGCAGTTTTGTCAAACGTTGCTTGTAATTCACTATAGCGGCCAAAGAAATAGTGAAACGGGAGTGTTCCAGTTTGAGAATTCATGCAGTTCATTTGAGTCTGAACCCATTTCAAATGATAAGGCCACATATCCTCAACGTCATCTAGTGCGGTACGCAATAGCTTCTTTAGTTCTCTATGACGTGTCTATTTTGCACCCTGCGTTTGAGGTTTTCAAGGAACACCACGCCTATGGGTCATGCCTAATACGAGTGTAAGTGCCTCCATTACGTCGGTACAAAACTCACTACCGTTATCAGAACATAGTACTCGGAGGAAACCGAAGTCATTAAAGACGTGATAGCATAACTCTGCCACTGTTTGCGGGCGTTTGTTCGGTGTTGCATAAAACAAGTTATAGCCCGAAGCCACACATAAGAAATGACAGATATATACATCGCCAGTATGCTTGGATCACGGGAGTTTAACCAAATCGACTATGACTCGGCGCATCGGTTGGTCTTCTGTCACACCTTTTAGGGGTGCCCAACCGTAGCGCTTGATCTGGTTCTTTTCACAATCAGTATAGCGTCGGTATACTTCACGTATGGTTTCTTTCAGCGCCTGGTGATCAAGACCTGCACGAATAGCCATCTTATAAGTATGCCCATATGCTCGATGAGTTAAATTATGTATTATTTTAACTCTACTCTCGAGCTCTTTTAAGTCAGTCAGATTCTGTGTAACGCTGACTGAATTAACCAGCACGCCATTTGAACCGCAAAGATGAGCTTTTAAAAGGAGCTAGCCGCTGCCGCAGCTTCTGACCCTTCGATCATATCCCACGTGGCCGATATTCTTCCTATACCGAAGGAGAAGAAAAGAATCCCGAGCCGGGTTTCAAATCTGGGACCCACTGGTTTACGTCGAGCAAAAAGCCGAGGGCTAATGATTGAGACATACTTATTTTTACCAGTCTTAGTCTGGCGTAGATAATGATGGATGGAGACATACTTAATTTTACCCGTCTTAGTCTGGCGTAGATGGAGGCCAGTAGCGGGTGTTTCGAGGGACCCATGGAAGTTTATATCGCGGTATTGCAAATTCAGACATTCTGAAATTCTGAGTATACAGTGGTGCGTAAAGATCGTGATGTCTGTCGTATCCACATGTCCATCATGATACATGGTATGGGCAATGGCTTCAGCTAGGGCGTATGGCATAGGGGGCGTGGGACGTGCCGTTTTAAGTCGCTTCCAGCCTTCTATAACTCTGTCACACAGAGGGGAACGCTTCCCTGGCAGTAGAAATTTTGCCATACAAACCGCGTTTACAAAAGTCTGACGGCGGCCACCTTCGTTTTCTGAATAAAGGTACCTCCCGAATTCAAGAAGTCTGGCATCTAGCTGCTCTGCCTGGCTTTGCAAGGCATTCCGCCTCCAACCACCGTATATACTGATGATATGCGGTTTTATAACTGGCATAGGTTTCATCGCTTATCGACCCCAACAGCAACACCGCTCCCTGAGAACTAGGGGCGCCGGAGTCGAGATACAGCATCGGCCGACTGGTAGTATGTCGGAATCCAAGTATAATGAACAAGGAGGTCCCCACCTAGCGTTAGAATTTTCTTCTTCTGAATAATGTTACCCCCCGAATTCAAGAAGACTAGCATCTAACTGCTCTACCTGTTCTGGCTTTGCAAGGCCCTCCGCCTCCAATCACCATATATACTGATATGATAATCGATA